GATAACTGACTACTGTCGATATTCCGTTGACTTCCAAGGTATCATAAAGAATCAACAAAGAGTTAATTATATCTTACCGCCAGAACACGATCGAAATTATCAAGATGAAGACCACCACTCCTACACCAACACCAATGGCAGCCCACTTCCAAACATTGCTTGACTCATCTAGTCCCGCTGTTGGTGACGTGGTCGGCGTGGCAGGTTTGAAGAGAACTTCTACATCAGAGATGTTTGCCCCAATGGCTAACTCAAGCGCGGACTTGTGAGTTTTAACGATCTCTTCCAGAGTACTGCGAGGCAGGACCGAGATATTTCCGATGAAGAGTCCAAGCGGCTGCTGCACGTAAAACGCTACCTGGAGAGAGCCCGATGCGTTGCTAGGGTAACCAGGCAGTAGGTGAACCTGGTCTGTGGTGTAAAGTTCCGTAAAAGGGGAACGTCTGATGACAAGATTGAATATTAAAAATATACTAGTTAGTCAAAGTCCTAATTCCAATTATTTCAGTTTAATATATGTGTGACACTGAACTGGCCTTGGGGCGAACAAAGCGGCTTCAAATCATATGGCTTAAAACCAAGAGAAGATCGAGGCTAGAGATTGAATCCCCCATAAGTTATACCGAAGGTAATCCCTCTTAAGTTATTTTTAGACATAGTGCCCAGTTCTTCCACGGATGTCACTTGCGAGACGCGTGCACTGCCCAAGCAACTTTCTCGAAAGGACGAAAGTCTAGCTCAATTTGCCTTGGGTGTAAGGCCTTAAAGGGGGATTCATTCTCTTACCTTGATCTTCTCTTGTTTAAAACAAAGTAAAACAAACAAAGAAAAACAATACATGACATACTAAGAGAAGGTAAGAACATTCCAGACAAGGTAGATTTATGGTCACAATTTAATAGCGGATTTTAATGAGTCAGACAGGATTTAAAGTCTTGCTCAATTGGCACGAAGACGTCTGCAATCAATTCAATATTTCTGTCGGTGCAGTATTTTAAATGGTAACTCAATCCAAAATTTTGTAAGTAAATTGAAAGGGGACCATATCGTCTACGACGGCTATGTGAAAGGGTTGCCTCTTCTGCCAAAGATATCCTCCTTGTATAAAACTTTATTCGGGTTCCCCCCACCCCAACCTCTTGTAATGTGTCTTATTCAGAAGTGGACCTCTTTAGTACACGTACTTATGAGATTCGGTAAGAACCAGTGATCACCTTTTTCGCCTGGCGTCCTTTAGGGCACATCTTGTCCTGTTCGCAGTGCAGAAATCCGTTGTTACAGACGCCATTTTGTCTTTGAATGCCTTGTCCTTTTCGAAATCCCATTCAAACTGTCAAAGATGTAAAAACATTCCAGGAGTTCTTGTCAATATAAGCTTTTGTTTAAGGACGTTCGCGCGAAAATTTCCAATCAATAGTTGTTTTTTTTTGAAATTTTTACTGCTTGTTTCAGAAATGCTAAAAAAAATTGCGGGTCACCGAATTCGTTTCAGAGAAAAAGCGAGTAGAAAACTACCCTGATTTTGAAAAATCAGCATGGTCTACAGGGGTTTATAGTTTAAAATATCGAAGGTGAGTCAACGGAGGCAAAAGATCTTAGTCATATCTTTTATAGAAACTTTGCCTGAAGAACGCTTTTACGGAGCTACTTTCGAAATTATTATTCTGGGCAAGGTACATAAAACTATAGAAAAAGCCCAAAACATAAGTTCAAAGTTACATAGATTAAACACGCTACATGAATAACGTGACTGGCGTCACTTAATATATATTTTCAGTTAGCTCCAATTGGAATTCCTAGATTATTGAGGTTTAGACACTTGCTTATAATAGAAATATGTAGAGGTTAGTCTTTCCCGTCCACACTCACTCGATTAGTCTGCAAATATTTTCTTTACTTTTATGTACCTTGCGTGAAATAATGGAACGATGTTGGAATAACGACATGGATCAACTCTATTTTTGTATGATTTCCCACAAAGCATGGCCTACAAATAGAACAAAAACAGACTAGAGTGCTCAGCAATAGAGTTCTTTGAACATACCGCATTATGTAGATTTGAGAAGAGATTGTCGCAAACTTTTGCATTTTACCAGTGTGAACCTTAATTGCCCAGAATTTTTTTTCCCATATTATTATAGTAGAAACGACACACTTTTGCTCTGTACTTGCTTTGGTTCCATATCGGACATACCAAGATGGGTTTTAAGCCCGCAAAACTACGCGTTTTTAGCCGTTTTCATAGGGGTTTGAAAAGGCAATTCTTCGACGGTCGACGAAATCCTTCAAACTGCTTGAAAAATTTAAAACTCCCTATTGTTAGATAGAAGAAATGTAAAGCTCTTGTGCTAAGTTTACCCCGTGTTCTAGTTTTGTAAACTCTTTCAATGCGATTACTGAGAACTTTGTCAATTTTCCAGATATTTTTTGCATATTTAATGAGGCAAAAAGCTGTATTTTCGTTTTTTGCGAATTTCTCGAAGACTTAAAATTCTAAGAAAATCGGAATAATAAATATTTTCGAAAGTAGCTCCCTAAAAGCGTTCTTCAGGCAAAGTTTCAGGATTTTCGATTTTTCGAACCTGGCCAGCCATTCTCGATAATTCCAGTCAGTGACTCTTAACCCTTCAAGAGACATTTGAAACCGTCACACAGATAAACGAAGAGCTAAAAAGAACGGAATTCGATAGTGCATTTTGCAAGAAATTCAAACCTCTAGTCGATAGATTTTTCTGCAGTTTTTCGCTAAACGTTGAAAATCGGTAGAGAAAATGATCCATTAAAAGAAAGATACGGGTCACCGAACGTCCAAGATCCAGGCAAAGTTATAGCAGTGGCCATCTGCCCTATCATTGTTCATATTATTACTTAGCGCGGGCTCTCATGCATGACGTGGCGTGTGAATTTGCGTGCGCAGTAAGAATGCGCAGAAACAAGTAGTGCAAACGTCCTTAAACCTTGTGAACAAGTCATACAGTATATAAACGTCGGGGTAAATTTATCCAACACTTATCAAAAACAACTCTTCAGTTTTCTGTAACGACCTTGTGCTTCCAAGAGTTTACTGTAATTGAGTTTAAACTGTTTGTGTTTATTTTCTTTCAGTTTTTTGTATTAGTGTGCGTACAAAAAGTGGTATATTACTTAATACAAATGATGCAAGGGACAGAAAACGAAAATGCTGCTGGTATTAGCAAAAAGATAGAAATATAACAATGATCTGATCAGCAAAAAATAGAAACAAAAGGCAGTGAAGCAATTGCAATGCTTATTACTACGCAGAAAGCACTTACATCGCTTGTGAGTGGAATTAGGAACTGCACAGCTTCTTCCCTCTCTTTCTTTGATGGCACACGCGGTTCAGGTAACACTAGCTTGGGAGCTGTCTCATTCTTCTCTAGACCTAATGAATATTTTAAAGATGTTTTTTTTTCCTTTTGATATACCAAACAGCAAAGACAATGATGATATAGCAAACAGCTAGGAGCAAAAAAGGCCAAGATTGAATAAGACTGGGATGTATGGCAAACAACGAACTCAAACAATCTCGGCCCCTTACTTCAAAGAGTGAATTACAAAGCAAGCAGATGCGATATTACTTTTTATCATTTTGCTTTTAAGAAAGAATCCAAGTTACGAGAGAGCGTGTTTTTTAGTCACAAAGTTCTTTAGTGAGGTTTTCAATAAGGTGTTGTAAACCAATGACGCCGAAACGTTATGTACAAGCGTTTATATCTCTTTTAAAGCCAAAAATATAACTTTGCTCATTAACAAAGGACAGAAAATTTAGTGCACCATTCAAAACTCAAGGCAGATTTACGCTGTTGCTGCAGAGCGTGCGACAACTCGCGATTGGTTTTGATGTAACTTCTGATTGTTTGAGACAGTTGCCCGGAGTTTGTTAAACCAATCACTTGGAGTAGAAATGCAAAGCAGAGCAATCACGAATCAATTTCGACAGTCAGGTGAAAACTGCTCTGAGCCAACCATAGCCAGAGTGTAGAGAGGCAAACCCAAGGCAACTAGCCATTTCCAAGTTACCTTGTGCCTCTGCTTCAAAACGAGTCTTCGTGCAAAACCTTTCTTATGAAAATGAGTTTGATTGCATGAAATGAACCTGTAGGTGGAACTCATTTTCATAGGAATGCTTTCGCCCTTAGACTCGAAAATGGAAAAATTACTGAAAATTACTTAAATTAATTGCTCCTTAATTTTGGCTCGAAATTTCAGGTTATGGTGTCACAAAGGAATTACAAAGTTGCCATGGCAACGCTCTGTGCAAACTTCCTCGATTCAATAAACAAGTCAAAACCCACGATTGTAAGCGTATTTTGTCACCAACGATATTGAAAGGTGATTAAATGGCGCATTCGTGAACTTAGGATTTTGTCAAAATTTTAATAATTTGTCTCGCCCAAAGGCTGGAGAAATTATAAGAATTTTGACAAAACACGCGTGAAATTATTTCCTAATTTCATTCGTCATTATTTGATTACCATACTAATTCATCTCTGATTACCTCTGCATTTGCCATCAATAAAGTAAAGATCTTGTTCACATTCACACTTGTACGAGCCGCGAGTGTTGACGCACTTGTGGAACTCATCCGTGCA